AGCACCACTTGCTCCATGTCCCCTCCCTGTTGACTACCAGTCACCAACATATCAAGTCAAAGTCCAAGTCTCAGCCCACCCTGCCTGTCTGACTTCCTTGCCTGTCACTTTTTTTGGTTTTCTTGAGAGGAAATCTTGCTCTGTAGTTCAGGCTGGCCTTGAACTCACTTTGTAGCTCAGGCTGGTGCTACAAAACCCCAGTCTCCTGTCTCAGCCTCCCAAATGCTGGGATGAGAGGTGTGTGCCGCCAACCCCAGCTTCTCGACACTTAATGTCTACACACATATGCACATCTCATTTATTGACGCCTTTATTTTAATTTAATTGGTTTCTTGAGGCAAGGTCTCACTTTGTAGTTCAGGCTGGTCTTGAATTCACTGTGTAGCCCAGGCTGGCCTCCAAATCATGTTGATCCTCCTGTCTCAGCCTCCCAAATGCTAGGATTACAGATGTGCACCCCCACACCCAGCTTCTCCATTTTATCTATCCAAACTCTACTCTTTCAAGGCCCATATCAAATCCTGCTGTGGAGCATACCAGTTGCATGATTCATCTCTGAAATCCAGTTGCATTTACCTCCTTTGAACTTACTTTTATTTTTGAAACTTTATTTCTTGATTTTGTAGTGCTGGAGTTTCAACTCTGGGCTTATGCACTGAGCTACAGCCCAGCCCTTTTGTACTTTGAGACAGGATCTTGCTAAGTCACAGAGTTGCGCTGTCTGGGCTCCTGCTTATGATCCTCCTGTCTCAGCCCCATCCCCCTGAGTGCAAGGAAAGCAGGCCTGCATCATCACGCCTGGCTTTGGGATTTTATTTTGAGGACTCACAGAGCTTTCTTAGCATCTGAGGAACAAAAGACGCCTCTGCCTTCAATGCTTGGGCAGGGAGAAGCTGCTCTCCCCAGTTCAGTACCAGTGGCCTTGCTTGTGTGTCTGGAGCCATCAATCCATGTATGGAGGACAAGACCATGGGCTCTGAAATTCAGACTCAGCAAATTCTCCACTCAATCCCAGTGGCTTTCCTGTCCACCCAACGCACAGGTTCGTCCTGGTTGTGGAGCTGTGGGGCATCATGAAGGATTGTAGTGCCCAGAAAATCCTTGATCTTGCCAAGGAGCAATGAGGTGTGCGTAGCCGATCTGCTGTGGATGACTTGAGTGGCTTTGCCCTGCTTCCCAGTGTCCTTCCTGCTAGAGTCTTTGTGATGTCCCCACAAAACAGATGCTAGTCTTCACCAGAAAGGGCTGTACAACTACCAGATACCAGCTGGCCCAGGCGCTTCCTCTAAGCTGCCAAGGAGCCTGAGTGGTACATTCCGCTGCAGGGCACGGGCAGTGGGATCTTGGATGCCACAGCCAGTGGGGCTAGGAGATTCTTGGAGGCTGCGAGGAATCCCCTTGCAGCAAGAGCCTCAGAAGCAGTAGCTCTCCCTGCGGTGTTCTGAGCCTCACTTCCTCTCAAATGTGGGCCTTCCTGGCGCTAGTTACTTTACATTTTTATTAATATTAATTGCATGTATAAATGGGGATCATGTGATATTTATTTATTTTTATTATTTTTATCGGTACTGGGGATCGAACTCATGACCATGTGCTTGCAAGGCAGGCACTTATGCCACTGAGCTAAATTCCCAGCCCCATGTGATATTTTCATACATGTACACAACATGCTCTGATCAAATCCAAATTCCTAGCTAGGTGTTGTGGTGCACCCCTGCAATCCCAGTACTTGGGAGGCTGAGGCAAGAGGATTCCCTGATTGAGGCCAGCCTGTGCCACATAGTGAGTTCAAGGTCAATTTGAAGTACAGGGAGAGTGTTCAAAAACAAAATAACCAATTCAATCTCCCTTTTTGTATCCCTACCCCCACCCACACACTGGTAATCCCTATTCTATTTTCAAGCCAACTTTTTTTAAGCTTCCACATATGAAAGAAAAGATGCTAATTGTCTTTTTTTAAAAAAAGAAGTTTGTTTTTATTACATACAGACATAAAATTCTACATATGTATGTGGTTCCCTGTTTTTTTTTTTTTTTTTTTTTTTTTTTTGTCTTTTTCCTTTTTATCGGTACCGGGGATCGAACTCACAACTGCCTGCTTGCAAGGCAGGTGCTTATGCCGCTGAGCTAAATCTCCAGCCCCTCCATGTGTTGTTTTGACACATGTATACCTTGTATAATGTTCAAAGTAAACTTTTAGGGGGGTGCTTGGGATGGAACCCCAGGCCTTGTGCATGCTAAGCAAATGCCCTACCCCTAAACTTCTTACTCTAGCCCTACCTGTTGTTCTGAAGAGATAGTCACTCCGAAGAGACAGTAAGCTATCCCAGAGTAGGGACTGCTATTTTTCCTCAGTGTAGGGGTCACATGCCCCTCCCCAAACTGCAAAAGTGCTTGGTTGGTTGGTTGGTTGGTTGTATGCCGCTATGTAAACAGGTTTGATAGTAAAACAAAACCAGAAAAGGCCTGTCCTGTAGCCCCTAATCTCTGCAATTGGGATTGTTTATACCTGAGGCTGCGCAGACCCCCATCACATCACCCACTGCCCCAACTTGCCACTTACCCTGGCTACATTTTCTCTACTTAGGGGGAGGGAGATCACAAGGGCTGCTTTCTGTGCTTTCAAGTGCCTGTGGAGATTTGGCCCTTGATAGTGGCTGTGTGATCAGCTGGGCCTCGCCACAGTGCAGGACAGGGCTAGTCCCACCCTGGGAAGAAGAGTCAGGGTTTGGCCAAAGTACCTCGCACTGGGAGTCCATCCACTTGACTTCAAACCCGCTCTCCTTTGCCATTCTCCAACTGGTGTCAGATGGTACCTTGGCACCATTTAGTGATGGCACTAGCCCTTGCCAGGCTACCTATAAGGCACAGGAGATGCCCTAGTATTTCAAAGCTTGAGAAATGCAACTAAACAAACAGTTCAAACACTGGAAACAGTCTAATTGGAAAAGGGTCAGATTAAGCCCTGAGTAAAGGATGAGGTCAATTTATGTGATTTTTTTTTTTTTTGTTCTAATCAGCAAGCCTGTTGTGGAGCCAAAGAGGCTTAAACAGAAAGGGATGGGGGCGGGAACACACAGTGACCTACTGCAGGCTGTTTCCTTGAAGGAAAACCAGCAACTCCTCTAGAGACCCGTTTACACAAAGGAACGCTCCCCTCCCTTTCACGGCTACCCCTTCCCTTTCCCGCTCCCCTGAGTTTGGCAGCGGGCTGTACCCTTTCTGTCCCTCCTTCCCGGACTCCACCTAAAACTGGGTTCCTTTTCTGTCCCAGAGACTGTTGGGACTCAGTCTCAGTGCCTTGCTCTCTGGGCAGAAAAGCTAAGACCGCCTCTGGCCTTTTTCCCATCTTATCAGGGAATTTCTGGCGGGCACAGACACACGTACACAAAACCACACACAGATACAGGCAGCCCAAGCCAGTGATGACGTCCCCCTGCCTGGCTGGTTCTACATATGGGTGTGACTGGGTCAGAGTACAGGGAGGGTCTAAATATTTAGATACTGGACTGCCAAGCCCTGGTCAGAAATCAGGGATCATCTAAAAATGGACATTTTGAAGGGAAAGAAGGGTTGAAGAGAGGGTAGGGGAATGGAGTAAAAAAAAAGTTATATTATGTACAGTTACAAATTCCCTATGATGAATGTGATCGTTATGTATACCTAAAATGTACCAATAAAAACTTTTTTGTCTTTTTGAGACACGGTCTTGCTATGCAGTTCAGGCTGACTTTGGGCTCACTTTGGTCTTTAACTTGTGAATGATTCTCCTGCCTCAACCTCCCAAGTGCTGGGATTACAGAAATGTACCACCATGCCCAGCTTTTCATGTTTTTTTTTTTTTCTTTTTATCGGTACCAGTGATTGAACTCACGACTGCCTGCTTGCAAGGCAGGTGCTTATGCCGCTGAGCTAAATCCCCAGCCCCTATGCCCAGCTTTTTAAAACCATTTTCTTTGAAAAAAATAAATACAAATGCACATTTTGAGAAAGAAAAACAGCCCCTGACATCCGGAAGCTAGCCTGGGCTGTGAGCAAGGCCTTGGTATGGCTGCCAACTGACCTGGCACTCACAGCTAGGTCTCAGTGTTCTGTGGAACATAGACATTCACACGACATTGGCATCATACAAGACCACTGTGTGACCATGATGAGATGCGACAAAAATGAGAGCACTCCATAATCATGTGTGAATGTAGACAAAAACATGAACATTGTCCAAACCACAAAAATGACCAAACACCCCCCAGCCTGACTGATCTGAGTGCTGCTTCCTTACCAGTCTCAGCATTAGACTTGCTTTACTCTGCCCTCTTATTGGAGAAGTTTTATTTAAAAAGACAGCCAATCCTATCATGGGATACCCCTGCTTCCCAACAGCATCCAATCCAGAGAAGCCCAGCCTCCTTAAACCCTTCCCCAAAGCATGGCAACCTGAATCCCCTAAGGCCTTTGTTGTATCCTCTTCCTGATGGTCCCTTGATTCCCCATGGTGGACCTTCTCCCTCCCTAAGGTGAGCGGTAGGTGAGACTTTTTCAACCACAAGGGTGTTCTGTGTGGTCTTTGGCTGGAAGGCACTGACAATTTTTGGAGATAAGTAGCGGGAATTTCTTCTGGAGACCCATCCTAGGTAGAGACCCCAGGGAAAGTTGCCCAGTCCTGTCCCTTTGGGAAGTCCCCATGAAGCATCCAAGGCGTTCCTAGGACAGACTGCTGGATAAGCCCTGAGTCCTGTCTCATATCTGGAGACAGAGGTGCCCAGCCTTTAAGACATTCAGGATGTCTTGGCACTGACACTGCAGCACCAAAGGTGCTCCTTGAGCACCAGACAAGGGTGTCAAACCTGAAATTTGTGCATAAATGTATTAACTTATGGAACATTTGCTAACAAACATTTTCTGACAACTGCTGCTTGTCATGGGATAGTGCTATGACTTGGAGATAAGGAGATGAGTAAAATGTAGTCCCTGCCTTCAGTGGCTTTATAACCAATGGGAACTTTTTTCCCCACTGGGGACTTTTAATGCAACATAAGTACCAGGAGAATGATGTGTGAGTTCCAGCAGGAAGCTAATGCCCCTCAGGATGTTTTCTTGTCTTGCTTCTATGTATCCTAGGCTTTTCTTTCCAACCATGGTTCTTTCCCATTCTCTGGTTGCATCTTCTGTCATTCCCAGGAACACTGTGTTCAGTCCAGGGTGGAGCTTACAGTCCTTTTGTCTGGAGAAATCCCATATCTCTGTTCACTTTTCCTCAGGCCTATTATTCTCACCCTCCCCGTGGAATCTTTGCTGTCTCCCCATTTCTCTTCTTCCTATGTTTCTTTCCGAGGTCCTGGAAGTGCTCCCTGCTCCTGTGTTTCTGGCAAAGCAGTGCAGCACAGTGGAAAGAGTACTCTTCTTGCTTAGAGTCCCAGCTCTGTCACCTATTACTTTCATGGACCTGGGCAGCCACTTTGCAAGGCCTGGAAAATAGGGGGAACAAGACAGTGGTGACAAACCCATGGCATGCATGCTGCAGGGGGCTATTTGTTATCATTGAAAGCTCTAAAAGTTTTACCATCACTAGACTTGATCATCTTTCCACCTTGAGCCCCAACTTCCTGTGCATGGAAAAGCCTCTCAGTGCTTCATCTGTCCATGGCCTCCAGTGTTGTTCTCCTCTAAGGCCTAGAGTAGACGCTAATGGAACTCAAAGCCCTTGGCAAGTATCTCCCTACCATGACTCTGTTACCTGTTTGGTTCAATCACATTTACAAATTTGTTGGCTTGTTTTTTATTTCTGGTGGTTTTTTTCCCACTAGTTTATGGTTTGGGATTCTTTTTTGACCTAGAAAGTTATATCTGAACCTAGTGCCCCTAGAAATTATACCTTGCCTTTTTTTCTTCCATATAGTTTTTCATAAGGGCATCTTCTTGCCCCTAAGCTAAAGTTTGGCTTCAAACCCAGAATTTCCCCCATGAAGTCTTTCTAGTCTGACCTTTCTCAGCCACAGTCCTACAATATGCATTCCTTCTGAGCCATTTCATAGCTCCCAGTCCCCAGTAAAAACCTTGCAAAGCTGGTGGATGTACAACTATCATACCCCAGGGTAGTTTGCAACTCGCTACCAAGATAGGAGCTCAGGTTTGATCCTCAGCACTGCAATAACAAACAAATAAATAAAGAGCTTGGAATACTTTCCTTGTGCCATGTAAACCCCAAGTCTAGTGCTCCCCCCCACCCAGTCCATGGCCATTTCCAATTCACCAGGCATAGGGACAATAAGAAATTGCTTTCAGGACAAGAATGACAGTCCAAGGGCTGGGGACTTAGCTCAGTGGCTCAAGTGTTTGCCTGGTAAGCATGAGGTCCTGAGTTTGATCCCCGGTAGCAAAAAAAAAAAAAAAAAAAAAAAAAAAAAAAAAAAAAAGCCCAGCTCCATGATATGCTAGGTGGAGGAAGATGCTTAAGGACCGTGCACCTTTGGGAGGAAGGGAGAGCTTCAGGTGTTTCAGAGGCCCTCAGCCCCTTATGGAAACTACCATTCAGGGCAATCACCCCACACCTGTGATGAGACAAATCTGTCATCTCACCCCTCCTCTGACCTCAAACTACACACACGGGGCTGCAGTGGAAACTGTCTCAAAAAGACCCTTACTCAAACCTGAACTGATTCAGTACCAAATTAAAGGAGTAAGAGCCCCAGTGACCCGTCAGGCCATCATCTTGACGTAAGCCAGGGGTCCAGGGCCACTCAAAGCCCAGAGGCCTCCACCCTGGGCCTTTGGCGGCACAAGCCCTCCTGAGACTTCCCCCTACTCAGACAAGCCCTCACTCGCCTACTCCCTGAAAGAGATTACAAATAAGAGGCCTCGGCGGCGTCAAGTGAACTGCCCTGTCAGTCATTCCCGAGGCGCCGCAGAGAGCAAGGGACCCACAGCCACCCTGCCCTGCCTGAGCAGGCGCTTCCTGCGTGAAATGGCTAATTGCAAGACCAGCTTTGGGAGAAGCTGCAAACCTGCCGCTCCCTCCTGGCCATTCCCTATGTGTTCCTGAGCTGCATAGAGTGGCAGCTGGGGCCGAAGCGCAGAGGTCTCCACCCGGACTCCGGCCAGACACATCCCTGCCAGCTGCCACTTGGAATCCTTCCCGGGAGCCCAGAGCCGCCCTCGCCCGCCTGCTGGGACGAGACGGGACCGGGGATGGAGGGCGGAGGGAACTGAGGGGAAGTTTCAAGGAGTGTGCCGGGTTGGGGGCAGGATTCTCATTCTCATGAGTCAGCGGATCTGGCCCAGAGTGACTTCACCGCTTCCCGAGAAGAGGCGCCCTGGGCCGCAGGCGGCCCGGAGTGCAGTGCAGGAGTGGGAGGTCAGAGCTCCGGCTGCTGGGGCGCCGCAGAGTGCGGGACAGGCTCTGGGCTGGGCTAAGATGGCCAGGTCGCTTGGGGCTGGGGCGGTACGGGGAGGCCTTGCGCCAGCCGGTAAATCTCCGGGCAGTGGAGCTGACCTCTCTTCTTCTCCTGCTCCTCCTTCTGGGACACTAGTTCCCGCCATCGCCGCAGTCTCGGCGGCAGCAGCCCGAGTCAACGCCCCGCGTGCGCGTCGCCTGTAGATGGCGCTGCAGAGGCGCCCTGTTCGCTGCAGGGAGGGTGGGGAGCTCAGCCCCACCGGGGGACTTGCACTAGGGCGGCGGGCTAGCTCGGGGAGAGGGTGTGTGCGTGTGTGGAGAAAGCTTGAGGGCCACCAGAGACCCCGCTCCTCTCCGGTGGGCCACTGGGACTCCAGAGATGGCGGTGATCGCGCCAGGAGAACGGCCTTGCGGCGCGAGCGCCCCTGGCCAAGAATGGCTGGCTCCTGCGTGCTGCTTCTAGTCCCTTGGGCCGCCTCCCAGCCCGCAGAGCTCGAGGCCGCTCTTCAGTTCTGCAAGGGATTGCGGTTTCAGGGCCGTCTTCACAAGCAAGCCGGTGCTCTCGACCCGCAGGCACTATGATGGAAACTCTGAGTCGTGTCTCAGGCGCTAGGGGTGGGTTTCCCTGAACAGCCATTCTCCAGCCTGGTTCCCCGCCCACAGCCCCAGACCAAAAGTGCACCTCCAGGACAGAGTCACAAACTATGGCCAGGGCTTGGCCTCATGAGGGTCAGGGGTTCATCCTGAGGCTGGATGTAGGGCGACGCTTAAGCGTTCTGTGCCTGTCAACCCAGCCTTCCAGCCTTCTGCTTCTGTATTATTAAAAAAAAAATAGCTAAGAGGCCTAGCTGAGGCTTGAGCCTGCAACGTTGGTCTCCATAGAAGAAAGGTTGTGCCCTAACTTCTTGCAGGGCCTGAGCTCTAAAAGTGGAGGCGAGGCCCAAGTCTTCCTATAGCAGTTTGTGGTTATGTGATGACTGTGAACATGATCCAGTCTATCAGGGTGCACAAAAATAACCTGTGGCCAGACACCTTCCAGCTGAGGGGAATAACAGCTGGGGCACCAGCCCTATTCTCTCCAGAGGCCACAGTGGCCACGTCCATGATACAGTTTTACAGATAAAATACACACGGAGAAATAAGCAGCACCCCATCTTGATATTTTGGCGGCCCTCTTCTTTCCTGTCAGTCCCTCTAACTCTCCTGATTTTAGGGTGTGCAGAGTCATCTGAGAAAGTTAAAGAAAGATTTTCCATAATGAGGAAAGGGAAGAAAACCCCAAAGGATCCTAAACATTCCCAGGTTTCACTGTATGACACAATATGGTCTGTTTCCCGCCAACCTCAGAGCTGGGGTGGGAGGCCTCCTATAGGGTGGTGCCCAGATGGAAACCCCTCTTCTCATGAGCCCCTTCCCCAGAGTGTCCTCCAGAGCACAACCTATGAAAAGGATCCAACTGGCAAAGCTTAACGCCTCCCTGCCCCCTCTGTCTGCTCCTAAGCTGATCGAAGTCCTCAATGTACACCCCCCTCTAATGCCACTGGATGGATCCGGGCCTGAGCTGGGACCTCTCCTTTCAGCCTGGCCCTGCATCTTACTAGGTGACTGGGAGATCTGATATACCAATTTGTTACTATGATAATGGACACTAATGGGGTCACATGCTAACCACGGGCTAAGTTCTAATCCAACATCACTGCCTCAACCCCAAGTCCAGGCTGCAGGGATGGGAATTTCAGATTGACTAGTCACCACTGCCACTGGAGGGTGCGGAAGAGTGCGAGGAACTGAGGCCCTAGGACAATCTCAGGGTGCGGAGTGTATTTTCTGGAGCTGCTGCCCTGGTTTCAGTTTCATCCTTGGCTGACACTTTCCTCCAGCAAGTGGAATTGCTTTGGTTTCCCTCCAGCACCCCCACCACTTGGACAGCTAGCTCCCTTCAGTCAGCCCTTCGCTTTGTAAGGGGAGAGATGGGAAGCCAGTTTGGCATTGATGAGGAAAAAATGTACACGTAGTCACCAACAGACACACAGGCTCATACACTCTACTGCCTTGGAGACTTACTCTCGCACACGCCCTCCACAAACACACGCTCCCACTAGGGTACTCCACTCTCACATCTAAGACTCGGGCCCACATATACATAGCCCATACTATGGTCACACCCTCACTCACAGTTTTGAGACCCACACAGATGCACACACAAGGCAGGCAAGAGTCTGGCAGAGATGCATGCCACACACAGCCCCATAAGCACACGCATACTCACTCACACAGGCCAGCAACAGCAGCAGCCGTTGAGTTGGATGGCTTCCTCAAAAGAGGGCTGGAAAGTTTGTTTGCTGCCAGCAAAAGGGGCCTAAACATTCCGTGAAATGACTCATACTGCACCTTTATAGACATTAAATGTTGTATTTTGCTGCATTAAACAACAATAACCCTCATCCCAGGACATGAGGGCAGGGTGGCTACCTTCCTGTTGGCCTCAGCTATGCCTCTGTCTTACAATGTCTGTCATACCCTTGCTTCGCTGTGGGATGAGGCGATCTCCAGAGAACAGGATCATCTATCTCCTGGTACAGCTCACGGCCTAGCCATGCTCCTCAGCAGGATGCAAAGTGAGGTCTGATGAGCTGCTCCCCCCCCCCACGTCTCCCATTCCCTGAACTGGATATCTGGGGTCAGGACCTGTGTCTGAGCCTTCCTGAACTCCCTCCTACTCCAGCTCCCTCCACAAATCTCCTAGATCTGTCTTCATGGCTACCTCCTTGCACAACTCCAGGGGGCGCCATTTCCCTTAGAAAATGTAAAGAACACCATATGTGACTAGAACCTCCCCTCCTCCTCTGGATTTCTTTTCCATCTGAGGAGAGAACACCATTTTGATGGCTGCTCATGTCCCTGTCCCCCAGGGCGTTCAGGCTCTGCAGAAATCACTTGGCTCTCCCTGGGATGAAGTGTCTATGTGTTGCTATCCTGCTGCACCTGCACCAGGCTTCACACAGGTCAGCTGAGGCCCAGCCTCCTTGGCTTCACTCTGAGAGCAGCAGAAGTCAAAAGGGTGATACAGGCAAGAGTGGGGCCCAGTAGATGCCAAGCGCTGAGGAGTTAACTCTGGTTCTACTAGACAAGGGCCCCCAACCCTTTAATGCTGCACTACCTTTGGTAGATGCCCAGTGCGAGTGCCTGCCCCTGTGCCTGGTCCAGGAGACTTCAGCTGGCTGGGTTCTGGCTCCAGGATAGGACTGGGGACCAATGGATTAGAGACTCCAGAAGACTTGCTGAACTCTGCCAGGGGCAACTTCATCCTTTTTTTTTTTTTTTTTTTCAAATAAACCAGAGATGTGGGTCTTCCCCCTTCTCAAATGTCCCAGCATCCCAGAAGGACCACGAAGGGCACTGAATCTGTTTTCCAAACATCAGCCCCACTCCTAGCGGTGGATGTGCCAGGAACAGCACTTCCCAGCAACCACTGTGCTCAGCGCTGACATGTTGAGTGCCAGTTCAGGCGAGTAGCATCTTCTGGGCTGTCATGGCCTCCAGTAGGCCTCCCTGAGATGCTGTCCAGCCTACCAAGAAGTGATACCCAGCATTTTCCTAAAGTTTTGTAGGTGTTCTCATGGCGTCCAGGCCTCTCTGGAGGGCAAATGTGGGATTTTTCATCTTAATCACTGAAAATTGTATAGGAGCCAGGTGTGGTAGTGCACCCCTGTAATCCTAGCACTTGAGAGGTTGAAGCAGGAGTCGGAAAGACAGCAAAGAGAGTGAGTTCAAAGCCAGCCTAACTACATAGTGAGACCCCTTCTCAAAAACTCAAATGGGGTCCTCAGTGCTCAGTGGGGTGGGGTGGATGGGCCAATTGGCTTTCTAAGAGCCCCAGGCAGGCATTCTTTCCAACCAAGGAAGGTGGCCAAGCCAATGAGAATCATGATTTTGGAAGATGGTTACCAATTCCATCCCTCATCTGCCTGTCTGTGCTTTAGCCTGGGTGCACCCCCATCCCAACATGGGCCAGAGCAGTGATCTGTCATCCTGTCATATGGGAACTTTGGTATAATCTATCCCAGGGAACTCTGTTTCCCAGCTACTCAATAAAACACTGCTTATGCTGACAACACCACAGCCTGGGACTTCAGGATTTCTGCCTGTTTTGGGGGATACATAGGCCTTCTCCAGTAAACCCAGCAAAAGCAAATCTAGGCTTGCTGAATGCAACAGAAGAATGGTGATGGGCTTCACAGAAAGGGTTATGGGACCTTCTTAGCTTTCCAGGGAGGAAAATCCTTTGAAACCATAACTGCTCTCCTTGGCCTTTGGAATGTTTCTCCTTCCAAAGGTCTAATCAGTCGGCAACTTTTCTTGCATATGTCAATGGTGGAAAAAGTCAGGGCTACAGAAGCTGTGGCATTGTGGTGTTCTGGCCACAGGTTTGAATAGAATTCATTGATGCCAGCTGGATATGGTAGCGCATGCCTGTAATCCCAGCACTTGGGAGTCTGAGGCAGGAGGATTGCTATGAGTTTGAGGCCACCATGGGCTACAAAGTGAGTTCAAGGTCAGCCTGAACTACAAAAAAATTAATTAAAATAAAAGAAAGGATTTGTTGAGGCCAAAGGCTTAAGTGAGAAGGGAAGTAACCAGCCATTTTGTCTCCAGAAAATGAGGGGTGATCTGCAGAAGAACATGGGCTCTCAGGCACTGCTTGGAAAAGGAGAAAAGGGGGGCTCGGCTTGGAGAGTTGTCAAGTTGAATGCACACTTCTGGAGATGGTCCTACACACACAGGCTGTGCGCAGCTGGAAGGTCCCTCTGCTCCCGCTGGGATCCAGGTTCTGAGGCCCAGAGCAGCCCGCTGGACGGGGTGAGGTAACAAGGAAGAAGGAGAGGGGCTGGGATTGCACTGCAGCGTGGCACAGCCTTGGCATTCACAGGCATCCACAGGCAACTCGAGAAGGGAAATTCCTGCCAAGTCAGAGAATGAGCCATTGGCAGAGACAGTGTGGCTGTCCTCAGGACAGTGGTGCTCTCAGCCTGGCTGGCCCCACCTAGTTGGGGCTCACCCAGTAGGTAAGTGGGGAGCCAGGTTGGAAAGGCCCAGCTGGCTGTGAACAGCAAGGTCATGGGCAAAGGCAGGCAGAAAGGTCATTCTCATGACTTCCCAAGGTGAGGCCAACACAGAATTTTCATGAAGGGGAGGAGTGTTGCCCACAACTCCCTGATCATGGCGTTGTTGTCTGCTCAGAGTTTCTGGGAAAGGTGGGAACATACAGGGTTCCCACAAGGCATGGACTGCAGGTCACCATGACTTGGTCTGCAGTGAGAACCTCTTTACTCTTCCCAAGAGCAAGACCTGGCCTCAAACGCTGTATTGAGGCTTTAGCCACACACACTCACAGGAGGGATCCACCGTGAGTTCTTAGCAGCTTCTTTCTGCTCTGGCCCTGTTGAATTTGCTCCTGAGAGCTGAGTTGAGAAAACAAGATGAAGGTGAAAATGATGCTGAAGGCTTGCTAGGCACCGCCACAGACAAAGGTTATCTTATTCAGCTCTCAACACAGCCTCAAAGAGGGAGATTCTTATTATCTCCAATTTTTATTTTTATTTTTATGGTACCAGGGATTGAACTCACGACCATGTGCTTGCCAGGTAGATGTTTATTGCAGCTGAGCTAAATCCTCGGCCCTATCCCCAATTTTTAAATAAGGAAAGTGAACCTCGGAGAGTTTAAGTGACTTACAAAGTCCGTTGGCTGGCATTATGGTAAAGCCAGCATAGGAACCCAGTCCTGTCCTTAGACTTCAAAAAAGAAAAGTGTTCCTTAGTGAGTTTCAAGGTCAAGGGAACAGCAGGTTAGAGACCTTTGAGACCTACACACACTTGGTAGGAGAGCTCAGAGGCAAGAGGTCAGCACAGAACTGGAATCTCCTGAGTAAAGTACATCCACTCAGAAAGGAAAATGCAGAAAATTGTTCTTGGTGCTTGTTGCAGGGATTTGGCTATTGGTAACCAGGAGGTCTCAAGGGCCGGTGCCTCAGTCCAGCCACTAGAACTTCCCCTGATAACTTGCAATCTACAGATGCCTTTTCAGGTGTCATTCACTGCCATTCCATCCCCAGGCCTGTGCCAAGGTGAAAGGAGCAGCCCCCTCCATCACCCACGCTTTTCCCCAAGGTCCCTCATTCTCCATGGCTCCTGAGATTGTTTTCTAGCAAGGCCAAGGCCTGACTGGGCCCCTCCTCCAGACCCTGGGCAGCTAGAAGGAGTCACAATTTGCAGCTGACTCTCCCAGAGCATTCTAGGCGCAGCACCAGGTGGGAGCTAGTAGATGCTGAGACAGGTCAGAGGAGAAGCAAAGAGAGAATGAGGCTGGCACTTTAAGGAGAGCAGCTTGGCTTTGGGTGGGAGAGCTGCCTTTGCACCTGCTGTATTTGCCCCTCTCCCTCCGGCTCCTTCCCTGATTCCTATGCTCCTGGCCTTTCTCCCTCCTAGGAGTGCATGAAACTCGAATCACACCAGCCGCATGGTGTAGATGGTGTATTCGGTTTGAGACTCCATTTTGGGCATCCCACAAGTTCTTCCCAAACTGTATCCTTGGGGCATTTCCTGGCCTCACCTACTGCAGCCCCAGCTTCATAATGTGCTGAGCAAGGCCAGGGCCAGAGGCTTCAAGCAAAGGGAGTGCACAGGCTGAGGTGGTTGGATTGAGCCTTCAGGAGTCCCCACCGGTGGATTTCTCTGCGGGTCATTGTGCACAGGCTTTCACCCCTGGGAAGGGCGCTCTAAAAGGTGAGGAACATGGGGATCTCTACTGTGAGTGGAGTCGGGCGGGGGGCGCTGGGCAGGGTAGGGTCGCGCTAGGGGGCTCTACAGGAGCCCTGCCCTCACTATCCCGAGGCAAGCTTGCTGCTGGGGAATGGGAGGCCGCGCGGGCCCCTGGCACTGTTCCCCCTGCCGTGCTGGCGACCGCGGCGGCCCGGGGGTGGAGGGGCGCTGTTTCCACCGAGATGCCTCGTCCCTCCCTCGCTCCCTCCTCCACCCCGCCCGCCCGCGGTCCCTCCCGTCGGTCCCTCCCTCCGGCTCTTCCCTCCCTCCCGCCCAGCCTCCTTCGCACCCGCCCCAGCCGCCGGCTGCGGGGACGTGTGTCTCTAGTGCAATTTCCCCTTTCGGTCGGTCCTCTCAGCGCAGTCTCCACCGACTCGCGCCCCTTCCCCGGGGGGCCCCAGCGCCCGCCCCCTCGGCCAGGCCCGGCCCTCCCCCGCGCCCACCCGGTTTCCCGGGAGCCCCACCCCGGCCCCCGACTCCTTTATCAGGGGCGCCCGCCGCCGTCTCACCTGGTATTTGCATCTCGCCCTCCAACTTGCCATTGGCGGCGCGACGTGTGGGAGAGCCCTGCGCCTCGCCCGCCCGGACCAGCCTGCCCCGGCGCCGAGGTGAGTCACGGGCGCGGGCCGGCGGGGGCAGGCGGGCCGGGAGGGAAGGGGGAGGTAGGGCGGGAGGGGACCGCGGCCCTGGCCGCCGCCGGGACCGACCCGGCTCCGCGCTCAACTTCCACTTCTCCTTTCGCCGGCGCCGAGCTCCGGCGCCACTTGCCCAGCCCAGCTTCCGAGGGGAGAAAGCGGGCTGGCGAGGCTGGGGACCGGCGTCTGAGCCCCTGGAACGGGGACGCGACCACGGTGACCGAGCCTGACCCGGCTACTAGGGGTGGCCCTTAAGACACGGCCTCAGGTACGTCTGTGGCGCCGAGTCTTCGCGTCTTCGGAGACCTCAGGAAGTTTGCCTCGGGGCGGGATCTTGGACGCCGGGACCCCAGAGCGGGGTTGGAGGCCCCGGGAAGGGTGGGAGGGCCGCCGCGTGGGGAGCGCGGCCCTCGCCTCGCCCCGCCGCGTGTATGTTGGAGAACTCGGGCTCCTGATCCCGGGGTAGAAATGCGGTCAATTTTCTGAGTCGGGATCCAGGGCCACTTTTTCTGTGCTGGAGAAGTCTGGGTTCCGCGACCGGGCGGATCGTGACAGCGGGGCCCCAAAAGCTCAGCGCCCGAGGGCAGGAGGTTGGGCGGACTGTGGCGAGGTTGCTAGATTGATCGGGAGGCTCCTAGGGCTTCTGGGGCCAGTGCTTTAAGGTCACACATAGGCACGCACAGACACCGATGACTTGGAGACCTCTTGGCAGAATGTGTAGTTTCCGTGTGTGCCTGCGGCCAGTCTTCCCGTTCCCGCGTTCCCACTTTTCCCCGTTCTCCTGCCCCTCTGTTCCCTCCCCTGTGACCACCAAGGGGACTCAGCAGCTGCACAGCGCGGGATCCCGACACCAGCGTCTTGCTTTGGCTTTTAGGGGGCTGCCCAGGCGTCAGCCACTTTCAGGATTCCTGGCCCCTCCCCACCGCACCCTAACCCTCTACTCTATCCTTGCAACCCGTATGACTAAGACTAGGCCTTCCTGACTAGCGTCACCTCCTGACCCCTTGGCACTTCAGTGGCACAGTGAGGTTCTCCCAGGTCCCCCACCGCCAGCAGCTGGGGGATTTGATGGCCCTTTCATTCCTGTCCTTCATCCCTCTGCCCAAGATAGAGGCTTGTCTGGTCCTGCAGCTTCTTCTGGTTAATGTTTGACAGTTCACTGTAGCTAATCATTTTAATTAGCTCTTAAAGTGGGGAGGAACAGTTAACCTTGGACTTCTCGATTTTGGCCTGGTGGGGCCTCAAATGGGAGGAGTGCTGAGGAGGTGGGAAGGTCAGAGCGGAAGTGAGGTCACCACCCCAGGGCCTGAGCCACCACTGCTGGCCCCAACAGCTGGTAGGCACACCCATTGGGGACTCAACCCTTGGGAAATGACCCCAGGCCCGAATGCCAGGTTTGAAGGAAGTGAAGGGAACAGATCCATTTCTTCCCTCAGGAGAGATAGGGCACTTTGGCATTCTTGCTGGGTATACGTGTTCACTGGGCATTTTCAATGCCAATCTCGTCTTGCAGTTAGCTCCGCAAAGTTTTCCCAGTTACAAAGTGTGTCATCAACCATTAGTTCAGTGCACACAGTGCAGAAGCGGCCTAGCAGAGTGATCTACAGTTGTGTAGAGATAATCCAGAGGAGCTGGGGGCTGGTGTGGGGCAAGAGACTGCCTTGCATGTGGTTGTCTCTGGGGCTGAGTTCAAAGCCTGGGAAGCCTTGTTGCGGGAAGCATGAAGCAGGCTCCACGTTGCCACCCTCACCCAGCCTCTTGCTGTGAGCCGAAGGAGTGGCTTGTTTGCAACTATGTCTGGCATTTCTCCCTCTGCTGCACTGTTTGCTTGGTGGTTACTCAGGAACTGGCGCCCACCCCTGGACAAGCCAGGGGCCAGATCCACCCTCTCTCCCCTAGTGCTGCTGAGTGGTGGCACATATATTGGGATCTAAAAATGAGGGTGCTTTGAGCTGTCTGTCATGGGCCTGATTGATAGCATGTTCAAAATGCTCCTAATTCTGCTAAGCTCAAGGCTTTTATTCTGGAGAGACCTGGTCAATCACTGGCCAAGGCTATAATTTTTCCAGGGGAACCTCTGCTCCTGAGCCTGGTCTTGGTCTTCTCTATACAGCAAGATCCCTAACTTTGTCATTTTACCCCCAATCCTAGAGCCAGCCTGGCTGGGTTGAACCTCCACATCCTCTTTACCCAGCTGTGTGCTCACAATCATATGCCTTAATTTCCTTACCTAGCAAAGGAAACCCACTTCTTAAAGTTTTACATATAAACTGCTTATTAGAATTCTGTGTACTCAGTACACCTGAACTGGTATTATGATTTTTATCGAATGCAGTGCCTACAACTCAGATTCAACTCAGCAAACACTTGCTAGGAGCTGGTCCCAGTATTTGGCCCCAGCAAAGTGGCAGAGGGGACGATATGGATGTGAAGAAGATACCATGTGCCTTCCAGGATTGTGGGCATCTTATGCGGGCCAGAGTGGCGTGGGGGCTGGGAGGAAGTACTGGATAAGTCATCTGTATACATAACCATAGTTCAAGACCAGATTTAAATCCTTGAGCTAGCTTGGAGAGCCAGTCAACCCAGACTCGGGCTTCTCCTTACCTGGAGACCCTGGCTGGGTTCTGGCCAGGATGCTGCCTGCAGCCCAAGCCTGCTCTAGGGTTTGGGTGAGTGAGATGGAAAGGAAGACTGGCTCATGCATGGGCTGCAGGTGCCAAGCATTCAGGATGTGATTTTTTAGGTGTCAGGACAGAATGGCATTTCTAAGAATCACCCTCAGAGCCCCCTGGAGTGGCAGGGCTCATTCTTATCATGCCCTTTTCATCTACCTGGGGTCCCTGAGTTGGAAAATGCATTGGGCAGGCTTCCACTCTCAGGCCTGGGCCCGACCCCACCACAGCTTTGGTTATCACACCTGGATTTCTACGCTGAAAAGAGGTTTCTGGCTTCGCTGCCAATTTATTTCCTTTGTGGGTCTCAGACTGAAAACTAATTCTGCAGGGGAGAAAGGAAACTCATGCTAGGTACCCAGAATCCATGGGTGCTTTCCTGAGGTTTAGGGGCTTTTCTCATCAACACCAACCTGCCTGCAAATCCCTGGCTGCTGAGCTTCGTGCGTCTTGTAACAGTGACTGTGCTGCTAATACCCAGCCGCTCAGGCCTCAGCACTGGTTGCCAAGAAACTGCTGGTTGGGTGCTTATGAGGGATCTGACCTCATAGGGGTTGCTGAGTTTCAATTCAACAGACATTTATTAACACCTACTGTGTGCCTAACCTGCTCTAGGAGTGGTGGGGCAGCCGAGGCAAGGAGGTGGTGGGCCAGAGGTGACCAAGACTGAAACAATCAGAGGCGAGGATAAGCAACTGGGCCAGTGGCTGGTCAGGTGCTAATTGTACTCCTCAGAGCAGAGGCCAGCACAGCCAGGGCACTGAGGTCAGCAACAACTGGAGGAGGAAGGGAAGGCTTTCTGAGGGATGCGGGCTTGAGCTAGACCTTGAAGCGGGGGAGGGGAAGCAAGTGAAATGGCAGAAAGGGGAGCAAAGATGCCTTTCTCTCTATTCCCCAGCCACGGGCTGACCTTCAAGAGGCTGGCTGATTGCTCAGTGAATGTATGTCACATAGAAGACCAGGTCAGTGACTGTGGATGGCTTGATACAAACCCAGATCTCCACTTTAGGAGACACAAAGTGGCTGGTGCAGACAGCAAGCCCAGAGTACATTGATAAGATACACAGGGTGGACTGGCTTTCCTGCCACCCAAGCTGAAGGGATTTCATTTGTAACCCCGCCCCACTCTCCAACATACACACGGGCCCAGGGCTTGGGGGAGGGAAGAGGTAGGGGCCAGCAGAGCACACCTTGAAAACTCGTGCCACAGGAATTCACCACAGACACGGGCTGCTTGAGTCCTACCATGCCCCAGGGTTGTAAGTTTTCTCTGGAAGCTCAGATTGATGTGGAGGAGAGAAGTTTTCATAATTGCCCTCTCTCCTTAGCCAGCTGGGAGCCAGAGGGTCTAGAGAGTTCCACATGTTTTTGGTCAGACCACCAAGGATTAGCCATACATTTATTCTGCTGCTTTTGCATCTCCTATGGTTGGGTGTGAAAGGAGCCTTGGCTCTGCTTGGGTTTAACTGAATGTAAACACCCCTCCCGCCATGCACACATCACATACCCTCACTATTTTTCTTCTCCATGTCTTCTTGCCTTTTCTTGTCCCCAGTACGTATCAATGCCTAAGGGACACAACAAAATATCCTGGCTTCTTGGCTGAGAAGTGTTGTCTCCTGTGACCTTCTTGGCAAAGAGACCCCAGCTGGCTCCCAAGGTGAAGAGGAGGCTTAGGGGACAGGGGAGGGTGTTTCGTGCAGAAGGGTCTGCAAGGCGAAGTACTGGCATGGTCTGCCACCACTACTTTTAACCAAGAATGAGGTCTTTCTGCCAGATTTGTGTTAATTCTGCCACAACACAGAATAAAGAGGGAACATTGAAGAAGAAGAAGGTGTGTGTGCGGGCATGTGTGTGTATGTATGATCTTTTGGGGGGTAGACACTGTTGTAAGTGAAGAGTGGAACTGAAGCTGGGCCTGGTGGTGAAGGTGTGTAATCCCAGCACTCTGGAGGCTAAGGCAGGAGGATCACTGTGAGTTTGAGGTCAGCCTGGGCCACAGAGTGAGACCCTATCTCAAAAAAACAACAACAAAAAAGAGCGACACTCAAGTCTTCAACATTTGTGTTAACACTGCCATCTTTTCCCCCTTACCATTTGTATCTTGAGTATTGTTTGCTACAGAAATCAGAGTCAGTTTGTTCTTTTTTTTTTTTTTTGTCTTTTTTATTTTTATCGGTACTGGGGATTGAACTCATGACCGCCCGCTTGCAAGGCAGGTGCTTATGCCACTGAGCTAAATCCCCAGCTCCCAGTTTGTTCTTTTGAAGGATGAACATTCTACACCTGGGGACTATTTGTTGATTATTAGTATGTTGTTATAACATGCAAACTTTTTTGGTCTTGTGAGTGGAGAATTCTGGGAGCCAGTAGATCCTTTGCTATAAGTGATAGGTTCCCAGAGGCCTGGGCTTGGGGCTGGAGCTCTGCCTTTGTTCCACAAGCTCTGCGAGGCTGGGTGCATCCCCTTTTGCAAAGGCTTCTTAGGAGGTAACATGGGGATCCCTCTGCTATTGACCCAACTGTGTTTCCTTGAGGAGCCCGTGGCCACCCACAGGATCAGGAGCACAGGACCACTCCTGAGAGGAGTCCTCCAAGTGGTCCCTTGGTCTCCACTCTTGAGGTTAGGACAAGACCTGGGAGGGGATGAGAGGGTGGACAATTAGTCTTAACCTCCCCAAATTCTTGATGACCAAATAACAAGAAGGTACTTAGATATAGCCTGAGGAGATAATCTGTCTTTTCCCATGATGTCATAATGTCCCCAAGGATAACAAAACGTACTTCAGCTCCCTGTCTGTGAGAATTCATGCGCAGAAAACACCTGTCTCACTAGGTGACCACTTTCCTGGTGCCTAAACTGATCCTAAAAAAGCAAAAACAATTGCCAGTGTGTGGTCGTGAGTTCGATCCCTGGTACCGATAAAAAAGAAAAAGACAAAAAAAAAAAAAAACCCGAAAACAAAACACAATAAGCCCATCCCCCTGCTTAGAGGCTTGCAGCCCAGTTCTAAAGCTGTAGAGTGACACACACTCGGTCCCATGGCAGACGAGAGCTGACTTGCCGAGCAGCCTACGGGAACGCTGTAGATTTGGTGTTGTCAGGTCCAGTGGCTAGTGGAGAGAAAGATCATCCTTCCTCAGCTCCTGAGGGAGGCTTTGGGGGTCAGAGGGAAAGCGGCCTTTCAAAGGAGGAAAGCAACCATTAGCTGTGTTCTAGGGGCATTCCACACTCAGGGAGACAATAACACAGGCCTGGGAGTGACACAGACCCGAAACCCTTAAGTCTGCTTGAGAATTCTCGAGGTTCAGGATCTAGTGACTGTACATGTGGTACCAAGGAACATGCTTTCTAGGAGAGTGTGGGGATTCTTGCTGCTTTTGTCGTTATTGCTATTACAGAAGAAATATTACGTAGTCCAGTTGCACAGTAAAGTCACATGATGAAATTCCAAGGTGTTTACTGTTAGTGCTATTGTGGTGACGGTGGTTGTTATTTTGTCTAATCTGGGGCTCTTTTTGCTTTCTTTTTATTTAACAGCCTTATTGAGGTTATACAGATGGACAATAAACTGCACGTATTTCCAAGTGTACAATTTGATAGTATTTGACATGTGTACATACCCATGAAACCATCACCACAATCAAGAGTGAACGTATGCGTCACTCCCGGAAAGTTTCCTTGTGTCCCTGTGTGCTCCCTCCCATCCAGTGGCAGCCCCTGGGCTGCATTCAGGCATTATAGATTAGTTCACATTTTCTAAAGTTTTATGCAGTTGGAGTCGTATAGCATGCAGCCTTTTTTGGTCTGGCTTCTCTCACTCCATGTATTTATTTTAAGATTCATCCTTGTTGTTGTTGAAATATATCAGTATCTCTTTCTTTTTTCTTTTTTGCAAAGTACCATTCCATTGGGTGGATAAAACATACATTGTTTACCATTCATCAGTTGATGGACATTTTATGCTTTTTCTAATTTTTAGCTATTACAAATAAAGTCACTATAGACATCTGTGTACAAATCTTTATGGCTCTATATTCCCTTTTGTCTTGGTTACATAGGTAGGAGTGGAATAACTAAATTACACAGTAGTGAAGGTTCAACTTTTTTTTTCTGCGTTGTGACTTTTTTGTTTGTTTTTAATTAAGTTTATTGGTGCATTTTAGGTATACATAATGATCACATTCATTATAGGGAATTAGGTTCAACTTTTTAAGAAACTATCAAACTATTTCCCAAAGTGGCTGTACTTTTTTATATTGTCACCAGCAAGGGGGGAGGGCCCCGAGCTTCTCTGGATCCTCACTAGTACTGCATCTTGGGTGGCTTTGTCACCTTTAGCTATTCTGATAGGTATACAGGACATCACATTGTGGTTTTAATTTGGATTTCCCTAGTGATTGATGATGCTGAACTTTTTTCATGTGCTTACCATCCATATATCTTCTTTAGCGAAGTGTCTGTTCAAATCATTTGATCATTTTAAAATTGTTTTCTTGTAGTTAAGTTTTGAGTTCTTCATAGATTCTGGATAAAGCTCTTTATCAGATACGCACTTTGCAAAGATTTTCTCCTAGTCTGTAGCTTGTCTTTATTTTCTTCAAATTTAGTTTTGAAGAGAAGTTTTTAACTTTGATGAGATGCAATTAATCAGTTTTCCCACTTATAAGCTATGTTTTTGGTGTTAGAACTAAGAGATTCTCTCTTAGGCCTAAGTCACAGGTATTTTTCTTATGTTTTCTTTTATAACTTTAGGATTTACATTTTGGTCTGCGGTCCATTTTGAGTTAGTTTTCTTTTTTTAAATTTTTTTTTGGTCTTTTTCATTTTTATCGGTACCGGGGATTGAACTCATGACCGCCAGCTTGCAAGGCAGGTTCTTATGCCGCTGAGCTAAATTCCCAGCCCTTGAGTTAGTTTTCTATGTGGTGAAAGGTATGAATCAAAATTCTTTTAATTTTTTCCTCTTTGTACATACGGTTATTCAATTATGCCAGCATCATTATTGAAAAAGCTATTGGGCATCCACTATTGTCCTTATATATATGGGCTTATCTTGGACTCTACATTCCATTCCATTGATTGACCTATCTGTTTTTCTTTATGCCAATACCAGCTATCTTGATTACTGTAGCTTTATGATCCTTAGATTTAGGTAGTAGTACCCTTCAACTCTGTTCTTTTTTGACATTGGTTTTGGTTACTTTACGTAGCCAAATTGAGAATTGAACTGGCTGTATCGTTTTCTTTTATCCTATTTGCATTGATAGTCATAACATATATATTTGACTTCACATAATCTTATTTTATAATGATTAGTGTGCTTGATGTTACTGTTATTTTAGATGATGCTTATTGTTCATCGATTCTTAGTCTATAGCATTCCTTAACTTTACTATGCATTTGTAAACTAAGACTGTTATTTGCCCTTCATTTACAACCCATTTTTGGTGAATGGGTCTATGATTCTATACCTCATTATACAGATACCAATCACATCCTCTTCCAAATCTGTCTGTCTAGGCAACTTAAGGCTTCTTTAAACCAAAATTTGTCCTTGTATAGTTCTCTTTGTATCCCATTCTCTCCAATCATTTGAGCTCCTAGAACAGATCCAACATCATGAAGTCTTTACTGAGAGTGCAGTGATCAGACCAGAGCCCGATATCCCCCCGGGGGGAAACACTGTGGTTTTGTACAAAGAGGGAATGTTTGATGATTATCACCTGCTGCTTGGAACAAATGAGGTGAGGGGGCACATGTTAACTCTCAGAGAGTATTGAAGCAAGACAGGGAGAGTAATGTTGGAGTGCTGGAGACCTTTGTCATCCAATTGTACCCCTATCCTACTCCTAAACTGCAGCCGTAAGACCTATGGGGACTTATGGGTTGATAATTTACATGGACTTAATTCATGAATGCTCTTGCCTGTCTTAGAGTTAGAAGATGAAATAGACCTTG